AAGAAATCCAGAAAAACGCATGTCAAAAATGTTATAAATTGATTGGCATTTTAATGAGGGAAATAAGTATGACCCCTCTGCAAAACATGACTTAGTACTTGGTGGCAAAACCCTTGTTGGCAATCACAGAGGTCAGACGTTTCTTGTAGTTGGCCACCAGGTTTGCACACATCTCAGGAGGGATTTTGTTCCACTCCTCTTTGCAGATCTTCTCCAAGTCATTAAGGTTTCGAGGCTGACGTTTGGCAACTCGAACCTTCAGCTCCCTCCACAGATTTAATATGGAATTAAGGTCTGGAGACTGGCTAGGCCACTCCAGGACCTTAATATGCTTCTTCTTGAGCCACTCCTTTGTTGCCTTGGCCGTGTGTTTTGGGTCATTGTCATGCTGGAATACCCATGCACGACCCATTTTCAATGCCCTGGCTGAGGGAAGGAGGTTCTCACCCAAGATTTGACGGTACATGGCCCCGTCCATCGTCCCTTTGATGCGGTGAAGTTGTCCTGTCCCCTTAGCAGAAAAACACCCCCAAAGCATAATGTTTCCACCTCCATGTTTGACGGTGGGGATGGTGTTCTTGGGGTCATAGGCTGCATTCCTCCTCCAAACACGGCGAGTTGAGTTGATGCCAAAGAGCTCCATTTTGGTCTCATCTGACCACAACACTTTCACCCAGTTGTCCTCTGAATCATTCGGATGTTCATTGGCAAACTTCAGACGGGCATGTATATGTGCTTTCTTGAGCAGGGGGACCTTGCGGGCGCTGCAGGATTTCAACCCTTCACGGCGTAGTGTGTTACCAATTGTTTTCTTGGTGACTATGGTCCCAGCTGCTTTGAGATCATTGACAAGATCATCCCGTGTAGTTCTGGGATGATTCCTCAACGTTCTCAAGATCATTGCAACTCCACGAGGTGAGATATTGCATGGAGCCCCAGGCCGAGGGAGATTGACAGCTATTTTGTGTTTCTTCCATTTGCGAATAATCGCACCAACTGTTGTCACCTCACCAAGCTGCTTGGCAATGTCTTGTAGCTCATTCCAGCCTTGTGTAGGTCTACAATCTTGTCCCTGACATCCTTGGAGAGCTTTTTGGTCTTGGCCATGGTGGAGAGTTTGGAATCTGATTGATTGATTGCTTCTGTGGACAGGTGTCTTTTATACAGGTAACAAGCTGCGATTAGGAGCACTCCCTTTAAGAGTGTGCTCCTAATCTCAACTCGTTATCTGTATAAAAGACACCTGGGAGCCAGAAATCTTTCTGATTGAGAGGGGGTCAAATACTTATTTCCCTCATTAAAATGCAAATCAATTTATAACATCTTTGAAATGCGTTTTTCTGGATTTTGTTGTTGTTATTCTGTCTCTCACTGTTCAAATGAACCTACCATTAAAATTATAGACTGATCATTTCTTTGTCAGTGGGCAAACGTACAAAATCAGCAGGGGATAAAATATTTTTTCCCCTCACTGTATATCTTAAGTGACGTTTCGGGCAATAACCCTTCTTCACGGAACATAGAGAGGCAAGAGAGGCCGAGTGGCCTTCTTCAAAGCATGTGATAATTTCAACTTAACAACATTGATGTGCTACGAAGAAGGGCCATTGTCCAAAACGTTGCCGATTGCATACTTTTAAAATATATTTTTTTCTTCCGATTAAGGTTTGCGGTGTAATATTTTGACTTTTTCCCCGTTTAATAACAATACGTGCGCCAATAGCAGCGGCAGCAGCAACAGCACGAGTGCTCGCGTATCGGGAAGACGCGCGCACACGTGGTGCCGAGCACGCGTCCTGCCGCCTGGTTTCAATAAAACCACGTGGAATGCTCTCTTCTAACACTCGCTGCAGAGATGAAACACTGCAATGAGCGCACGTCAGTTGAAACATCAAACGATTATCGCATTCAATTTCGCTGATGAACCCCCCCCCCCCACGCTGTCTCGCCATCGCTTCCTTCCCTTTGCTAGAGCTCGTGAAAAAAAAAGATCTGGTCTTAAAGTCGTCCACGACGTGGTTTTAAGGTCATTGCCTTCTGCTCGCTGACCTCTTGGGGTGCCCCTTCAATAACCGCATCGGTAACTTGGCCCCCTTCCATCCCGCACACGTGCACCACCCATCACAACAACCTCCTCTTAAGCGATTCAAGCATGTCGCATCGTCCACGTATCCCGCGCACGCATTCGAACGTTATTACACACGTACGTTATCGCCCAGCTATCTGACCCGAACAGTAACACGGCGGGCATGAATTGTACAAGTAGTCCCACACAATGTTGTTGTGCAGCGGAGTAAATCTAAGCAAACCGAGTTCGACTCCCCGCCACTGGTTCTGACATCAGCAGACAGGGTTCTGTGCACTATTACTTTAGTTTTTGACCGACCCGCAAATGACCAACGTGGTGAAGCATGGTCGGGGCGTGCAGAGGCCTTCGTCCAGCAGTGAAATTACGAGTCAATTATTGATTTAATCGTACGATGTTTCTTTTTTTACCCTACAATCATGAGAAGTGAATATTTTAAGCTCCAGGTTGGAAACACTGAATTTGTGAAATCGTAGCATCATTCTCACGCAGTGATGCCATTCCAAACACCAGAAACCTGTGATCTGTTTTAAGCATCGTACAGCTAAGCAGGAAATGGTGTCTGCTTCATGCATCTGCCTGGCTCTCCGAATCTAAATAAAAAAGAAAGTTGTTTGTTTTTTTACACAAGCAGCCCGCACATCATTTGAACGTGTCCGTCAGCCAGCCAGCAAAACTTTTTTTCTCATCTTGGTTGAAAACCCATTGGCCCCAAGGCCTTCTGGGAGTGCACACATTTCAGCAGCATTTTGCTTCGATAGAGGCAAACTCGGCATCGGTTTCGTCACTCGGTGTCTTATCCAGCAGAGTCAGGATGATGTCTGAGTTCGCTTGACGATGCGCGTGTAACGATAACGGCGATGCTCCGGGACGAGAAGCACAAGTGTAAATAACATAAAATAAATTTTTGCAACATCGAAACTGCGACACGAACACAAGACATCAGCTACCACAAAGCAGAAGGGTCGTCGGTTCGATTCCGGCCCTGACGCCTGCTGTATATTTAAGAGTTTGCACGTCCTCCACGTGGTCGCGTGGATTTTCTCTCCGGGTCCTCCAGATGTTTTTTCCACTCCACATCGAGAATGAACACGCGAGTATTTGGCTGCTACAAATGTGCACACGATGAGCCACTTCGTTGAGCTATCATCTGTGGCCAGGTCGCTGCTGTAAAAGAGCTACGTAGCAGTTCAGTGGGCCTTAACTGGCCAAATAAAGCATGGAACAGTACAATACGCAGAACAACTCGAGCTAGGTTGCGCCATCAACGCGACAACCCGCACCTCCGATTAGCGCGGTTGGCTACGTACCGGTGCGAAAGAAGTTCAACATCATACATATATACGTAGAGTGGAGGTCAGTTGAGGGACAGTCAGCGTCTGGCCTCCACTCTTGTCTGGCCTCTCTGGGTGCTTTGGAGAAGTGTCATTGCCCGAAACGTCGCCCATTATATATATTTTAAGGCAGTGTTATTGACGAGTGTGTTGAGTTTGTTGTTATTTGTGCTTGTGGATCACTGCCAACGCAGTTATCACAAACTAATCTGGGCGTGCATGTGTGTGTTTTTCCTTGCCTCTGCGTGCATGTTGCGTGCAAGTGTTCACGTGTGTGTGTGCGTTTATCCATGCGCGATCACGTATGCACGTATGTTGAACTTATTTTGCACCGTACGTAGTCAACCATGCTAATCGTATGTGCGTATGCCTTTGTGAGCGTTCATCCGTTGTGCATCTGTGCGTGTGCTCGTGAACAGCACTTTTCCCCGAAGAGTCTGTTAAAGGCTATACGTGGGATCGTTGTCTTTGTGTGTACGCGTTCGATTCCCAATCACGACTAACATAGGTAACGAATGTCTGAATCGGTCCTGGGTCTACCCCTAGGTCGACTCAGCCGGAAAAAATAGTACATGGTGCGGTGTGTGTGAACATCATCATTGGGGAGACAAAGGCGGCCCGGCGTGGTGCTTACCACGTACCCCCCTCCTGTGCCGTACCGACCTTCATAGGTGCTCGCTAACAGCACTTGCCGCAACAGTCTGGTGAGGCTATACGGGGTACCTTTGCCTTTGTGTGTGTGTGTGCGTGCCTTCGTTCCTGGTTAGCGGTAATGTAGCAGTTAGCGCGCTGCGCTACGAACCCGGCGATCCGAGTTCGATTCCCGCTCACGGCCAACACCAGTGACGATTATCTGAACCGGTTCTGGGCCTCCCCTAGGTGACTGAGCCTCAAATGACTACCTGGTGCGGTATGTAAATATCGCCACTGGGGAGACAAAGGCGGCCGGCGTTGTGCTGACCATTCACCCCCTCGTGTACCGTTCCGGCCTTCATAGATGCTCGCTAACAGCACTTGCCCCTACAGTCTGTCAAGGCTATACGGAGGATATTTGTCTTTGCCTTAGTTCCTTGACGTGTCTTGTAGCCTAGCGCGTGTTGTCGCGTGTGCGTGTTCCTCCCGACCTGTGAGTTCGCACACTGAACTCGAGGTTGATTCCCGACCCCGGCTCACAGCGGTGGCGGATGGAGTCAGAACTTGGTCTGAACCATCCATTAACTCGGCCTTAATCAAGTACCCGGTACGGTGTGTGTCGACATCGGTAAGCGGAAGACAAAGGCGGCCGGCCACGGGTTCTTAAATCACCACCACCATGTGCGCCATTGCGGCTTTAATAGGCGCTCGCTAAGATCACTTGCCCCCAACATTCTGTTATGGCGACAACGTCGCTGCAGGTTTTGTTCATGTACACAGAGCTGTCGTGTGTCCGTGTACACACGCGTCCCCGTGTCTATATAGACACGCGTTCTCGCGCCCATGCATACGCGTGCGTGTATCCGTGTACACGTGTACCTGTGTACACGTATACCCGTGTGCACGTGTACCCGTGTGCACGTGTGTGCGCGCGCGCGTGTACTCACCGACAGAGACATGCCTGAGTCGCTCCCCTCGCCGCCCGGCCTCCGACGCCTCCCAGGGCACTCCCTCCCCCCGCCCCTGTCCGTGACCACCTCCGCCGCTGCCAGCCACCGGGGTCCGCGTCTCGACCCCTCCTCAACAGGGTCCAACTCCCTTTACCCACCGAGAGACCCTGCCGGACCCTGATCGAGGGGTCCAGGCAACCGGGACCGACCCCCGCCCGCCCCCCCCCGGCCCTCGATCACCGCGCCCCCGGTTCCTCGCAGAGTCGAGCTCCCTTGCGCGCTCGCCTCGGCATCGTCGCCACCCCGCGGTCTCACTCGGGGCACATGGGCACCTCGCGGGGAGAGGACTTCGTGGCTGCGGCGGCGGGCCGAGGCAGGAGCCGCTTGAGCGCGGCTTTTAAAAGAGCCACCGCCTCGCTCCTCGTCGAGGTTGACCGAGTCGCCCGGACTCGGTGTCGGGTGCGCGAGTGTCTGCGTCTACCTGCGTCCGTCTGTGCGTGTGTGAGGGTGTCTGCGTGTGCGTCTGTCAGTCGACCCGTGGCACCTGCTGGGTCTGCCCCTTGACCTCCTGCCAGCGGGCGCTCGACACTTCACGTGGCCTCAACGTGCACCTAGCCTGGCACAAGCGTCGTGGTGGCTTTACCGCCACTTAGTGGCGAATGGCGGTTGTTGTTGTCTGTGAATGTGTCAATCTACGCGTGCCCGTACCTGTATCCGCGTGCTTGTGTGTGTGTGTGCTGGTGTACGTCTGTCTGTCTACCGTGCGTCTACTTTGTGTGACTGCGTATGTGTGTGCGTGAGCCCGTGCCACTACTGTGTGCGTGAGCCCGTGCCGCTACTGTGTGCGTGAGCCCGTGCCGTTGCGTGTGAGCTCGTGTCATTGTGCATGAGTTCGTGTCGCTCTATCTGAGCCCGTGCCGCTGTGTGTGAGCCCGTGCCGCTGTGTGTGAGCTCGTGTCACGGTGTGTGTGAGCTCGTGTCACGGTGTGTGTGTGTGAGCTCGTGCCAGTTGCGTGTGCGAGTCCGCGTCTCTGTGAGTGAGCGGCGATGGTTGTATTTAGGTGGGGTGGGGAAGGAGGCGGCTTGTACGTGTGTTGCGGGGATGCGTCACGCGCGTCTCCACCCCCCATCACAGCACCCACGGCGCGCCCGCCCTCCGCCAACCTCCCAACACACACCTCACCCATCCACCCCCTTTCCTGTTGGTGGTGGTGGTGGCATGGAGAGAGAGGTGTGCGCTCATTACGATGTGCCACCACAACGTCAGGAAGCGCCGCCTCTCCCTGGTCGGACGAGCCACGGGGCGCGCGCGCGCGCGTCGTTGTGCCGAAATGGAAATCCCACGTTACCATGGCGAGTACAGTACATCCATGATGAAAACAAATGTACCCCCCACATTCCAGTGGAGAGTATAGTACTTTTATCCATAATGATAACAATGCGTCAAAGGAAGGAAGGAAGAAGAAGAAAAAGAGGAATGCGTACGCGTCAAGTGTCTAACGCTCTCTACGCGCGCCTGTGTCGTCGGAAGCGTTCCATTAGTGCAGTGATTCTTCTTCTTCTACTTAACCCTGGGGTGCACGCAGCCCACTGGGGGCGCGAGATGCCCTTTCCGGGAGGTGGGAGACGTGGCCACATTTTTTGTTCGAGGGCAAATCATATAAACACAAATTAGTGCTTAATTTGTCGCGTAAGCACAACGACTTTGTTTCACCAAACCCTATGTATTTATTAACATTATTATACATGTCTTTATTTTTACGACTGACAACCAAACGGGGTGCATGGCTGCAGTTAAACGGTTGAGGACCGCTGCATTCGGTGATGATAACGGGAGCGCCGGCGCCAGGCACGCGCGAAGCAGCATCTTGAGCGTTCGTATGGGGCCGTCCATAAATGACGTCACGTACCTATGGGGGGGGGGGGGATCAGACATTTGTGACGATGTGTGACGAGGGGGGGGGGGGGGGTTTGAGAAATGTGACGTCACATAAAAATGTGCAATTTAAAATATATATAGACAACACGGTCTACTTAATGAAATATACTTTTGAATAAATGTTTTCTCTTACAACATCAGAGTGCAGTGCCACATTAAATTCGCGCTACAATGACAATAGTTTAAAGCGATTTGAAGCATGTTTTATATATTTTTTTGGGGGGGGGGGCAGAGCTTTGTGACGTTATATTTGTGAGGGGGGTCTGACTTTTTGTGACGCCGTGTGACGAGGTGGGGGGGGGGGGATCAAAAATCGTCCATAAGCGCGTGACGTCATTTATGGACGGCCCCTAGGCCGCGACGAGACACGGGAGCTCGGATGGGTGGCTCCGCCCGGCAGGACGCGCCTCGGCGGGCAGTGCCCAGAACCTCCTGAACGGTGTCGGGGCTCGTTCCCCACGGCGCGCACCCGATGCTGGTGTTGTTGATCTTGGTCCTCATTTGTTCGGCCAACCGCCTCATCGATGTGGCCGGGTTCTCCGTCATGGAACGGCACCGAGAAGAACACACTTTTATACGAGCGTTGGGTTCACATTGCATCATTTGTGGCTCGTCATCGAACAAAGGCGGCGGTCGTTGCATCGCGCGCTTTCGGATGCGCTTCTGCGGCCGTCCGGAACGCCTCTTCCTTCCGATATTCGGAAGCCACTGGAGCTGCGCGCTTTTAAAATATTCTAGGTTGAAAAACTAATGTATTTACAACGGCGTGTTGTATTTATCGTGTCATCTTCTTTGGTTCTTTCGGTAAAGTCACGTAGAATGAGAATAAAATAATACATTGATAAAATAAAATAACGCAATAATATTCTCACGACGTTTCGGCCACAACACAAGCGGCCTTCATCAGGTGAAGGGACGAGACTGTCTGGTAGGACAGCGCTGTGTTGTGGCCGAAACGTCGTGAGAATATTATTGTGTTATTTTATTTTATCAATGTATTATTTTATTCTCATTCTACGTGACTTTACCGAAAGAACCAAAGAAGATGAATCATTGCAGTCACGAAAGCTTTAAATCGATATTTATTGTGTGTTCATCACTGCGCCATTGGCCGTGAGCGGCCACCGCTCCACGATACGTGATAGATCCATGATACGTATTGCACTTGTGCGTATATCTTCATGAGGAAGACCAAGTAGCCGAAACGTCGTTACCCGTCTCGTAGGGACATTAACACATTTTTACTTTCTCAGACTAAACTCGAGGGATTGTATCCTGAATTGTGAAAATAAAATACTTTAACGAAAATAAGTGGCAATCAATGTCTTCCCTATGTGCGTGCCCAGTATAGTTTGTGTGTATGGGCAGTCCCACAGATTACAAAGCACATTTCAGACACTTTGGGTGGATGTGTGTATGGGTGGGTGGATGGGTAGGTGCGTGGATGTGTGGGTGGGTGGATGGGTGGGTGGGTGGATGGGTGGGTGGGTGCGTGAATAGGTGACCAGCAAGGGCTTGCCGGGTGCTGTAGACTTGGTGCAGCGAGGCAGTCACGGCTGTGACGTCACTAGGTGCACCCACGAACAGTCACTTTGAACGCTCTTGTCTTCATATTCTTTGCTTCTTTCGGTAAAGTCACGTAGATAGAATAATGGTAATAAAAATAAAGTGAATAAAAATAATGCAAATAAAATAAAAAGATAATAAAAAACCACTAATGTAGACTGTAGCCTGGTTCTTAATTGGAGTGAGTGTACTGGCAGTCTTTAATGTCTTGTCTTCATTTAAGGGCACGTGGAACTTAGTGGAACTTAGTACCACGTGCCTCCTGGGTGTGTGGCGTTCGATAGTTACGTAACAACTGCAGTTGTGTAAATGTAACGCACCACACGCACGCACGCACGCGTCTAAATACCGCTCCGTCGGTGTTGCATTATGACACAAAAAGCCATCAGCAGTTGCTGAATAAATGCATTATTTGAGCAAATACGACCGACCAACGTCAGCAGCAGCAGCAGCGATGGAGAGAATAGATAACCGCGGTGGAACCGGTTTCGTCCTCATTAGGACTCATCAGCACGGCGCAAGTCACCAATGTTCACTGCTGCAAAATCTACACGGCTGGGAGGGGGGAGCGGGGGGGGGGGGGCCCACACGTATCGTCCGGGAGTTGTGGAAATACTGCGACGGCCCTAACTCTCGCTCAAAGACGCCTATATACTGTTAGCGAGCACCAATTAAGGCGGGCGCACGACGGTTTGGTGCTCCGGCCTCCGGTCGCCACTGACGTGAGCCGTGGGCGCGATTCGAACTCGGCACGCCGGGATCGAAAAGCGGTGCGCCCACCACTACGCTGCCGCCTCGAACCCACGCACGCGTGCGCGCGTGTGCGCTTTACGACGACACGAAATGCCACTGGAGGCACCTCCGCGTAGCACGGTTGGCTACGTACGGTGCGAAAGAAGTTCGACATGCGTGCACAGCAGACTGTTGGGGCAAGGTGCTGTTAGCGAGGACCTATGAAGGCCGGCACAGCGTCTTTGTCTCCCGCTCCCCCCCCCCCCCCCCCCCCCAAGCGCTGATGGGTACACACCGCACCGGTAGAGCGTCATGGTTCATGTTAGTCACGGCCAACATCAAAGTCAAAGATCCCCCGCAGAGTCGGTAACTGCCCGGCGGGGCCAGGTGCTGCTAGCGAATGCCTACGAAGGCCGCCTTGGCACACGAGGAGGAGGGGATGAGCAGCAGCACATCCGGCCCCCTTTATCTATCTCCCTCGTGACGATGATTTCACAGTGCACCAGGTACTCATTTGAGGCTGCGTCGACCTAGGGGAGGCCCAGGACCGAATCAAATAATCGTCACTGTGTGTTGGTGGCCGTGAGCGTGAATTGGAACTCGGGTCGCTGGTTTTCGTTGCGCAGCGCGCGAACTGCTACGCTACCGCTCCCCACAACAACAACAACAAAACTGACACACACACATATACAACCCACATACGACGACCACCACACCTACATACGTACACACGGACGTGCAAGCACGCGCGTGTGTGCGACGCAGTCGCACACACGCGCGTGGAGGAGGCCCAGCGGCAGGTAGCTGTCGGGTGAGTGGTTTTCGAAGCCTTTTAACAAAGGGTAAACTGAAGTTGTCCTGTCCCCTAAGCAGAAAACACCCCCAAAGCATAATGTTTTCACATCCATGTTTGACGGTGGGGATGGTGTTCTTGGGTCATAGGCAGCATTCCTCCTCCT